AAACTTAAACGTGATCATCGCACCATTAAGAGATTTGTGGCTGATTCAGAGCACAGACGGGTTCGTGCAGATAAAGGCACATTGAGGAAGATTTCTGCCGGATCCATGCATCGGATCAAGAGAGTAGCTGCTAAAATACCATTACATAGCAGCAAACAGATATTTGAAGCTGCTGGTGCCTCTGGAGTCCCACGGACATCAAGGTGTAGAGTCCTCCAGAGTCTTGCAACTGTGCATAAACCTTCTATTCGGCCACCACTAACCAATGCTAACAAGCAGAAACGGCTGCATTGGGCAGAAAAATGCATGAAGACTAATTTTTTAAACAGTCCTGTTCACTGATGAGTGCCGTGCAACCCTGGATGGTCCAGATGGATGGAGTAGTGGATGGTTGGTGGACGGCCACCCTGTTCCAACAAGGCTGCGACGTCAGCCTTGTGGAGTTGGAACAGGAATCATGGGAACAGATCTGGTCTGCCCCTTTAGGGTCCCTGAAGGTGTAAAGATGACCTCTGCAAAGTATGTGGAGTTTATGACTGACCACTTTCTTCCCTGGTACAGAAGGAAGAACTATGCTTTCCATAATAAAATCATCTTCATGCATGACAATGCACCATCTCATGCTGCAAAGAATACCTCTGCATCAATGGCTGTTATGGGGATAAAAGGAGAGAAAGTCATGGTGTGGCCTCCATCCTCCCGACCTCAATCCTATTGAAAACCTTTGGAGCATCCTCAAGCAAAAGATCTTTGAGGGTGGGAGGCAGTTTACATCCAAACAGCAGCTCTGGGAGGCTATTCTGACATCTTGCAAACAAATTCAGGCAGAAACTGTCCAAAAACCTCACAAGTTAATGGATGCAGAACTTGTGAAGCTGCTATCAAATAAGGGGTCCTATGTTAAAATGTAACGTGACCTGGAAAAATGTTTAAAAAGTTAAAATGTTAATAGTTTGAATGAAATAGCTTTTGATTTCAGTAAATATGCTGCAAACACAACAAATGACAATTTTCAGTTCTTTGCTACCTATAAAGTGTTTTTAAACTTACAATGCACTGTTCCAAATTATTACGCACAGTGTTTTATGTTTAAAAAAAAAATACTGTTATCATTAGGTTTGTTCAATAAAATTTGAATTGTACTCTTAATAGTTGATAACATAAGAATTATGCTGACTGTTACATCAATTATTCAGGTAAATGAGAAAAATATAATTTGCATAATAATTTGGAACAGGGTGTATTTTGTTTAGCAGACACGAGGAGCAGCATGGATGAGGCAGTGTCTCTGCTGGATCCAAAGAATTTCATTCAGATGGTGAAGCAGCACCCCTGCCTATATGATCCAAAAGATCCATCCTACAAGTACCTAGCGAGCAAGGGGAGGGCATGGGACCAGATTGGCACACAATTTGGCAGACTTCAATGCCACTGTGAAGGATGATACATTTAAGAGAAACCTATACAAACTCAACCATCCCCACCACACCCACCCAAGTGAAATTATATGGCTTTTTAATCATCTATACATGTTTAAGAAATATCACTTTCTAGACCACCCACCATCCTCCTCCTGTGCCCCACAGCAGCTGCCAGCAGGAGGGATAAAAAGGCTACAAGGGGATACACAAGTAGATAAGTGTCTGCATGTTACTGACCACTAGTACTGGATGTTTTATGGATAATGTAAACAAAGATATACATATATGTAGAAAAAAAAAGGCTTCTCATCAATAAAGCATTTTCTGTTATTTAGTGCAGCTTAGAATATAGTTTTATTAAACAACTGATACAGGATAACACTTTACGTGTTTGTCAAAATGTATAATTATTCAATTGCCTCGAACTGCAATGGGACTGGATCTGTTGGGAGACAAAAGTAGGATGGAAATTGATTACCGATATGTGTACCTTGTCCGCTTCCCTGAACCCCAGTCCAAACAAGATCTTTCCATATTGTGTATTAATGAGTCCTCAAATAGGAAACCATCACGCTGCCTAACAAAGTTGTACAGGGCAAATGCAGCTTTAAAAGCACAAATTGCATTTTGCATGTTCAAGATGATGGGAGTGCACACAAGCCACCATTTGTTAGACAAAATTCTGAAACCACCTATTCAACAACTCTACGTGCTCGTTAGCCGATAATTGAACACTCTTCTGTACAGCACATCAATATATGCCATTGCTAGAAGGTTTGTGGTGTCTCCCAACACAGTTTCAAGAGCATGAAGGAGAGTCCAGGAGACAGGCAGTTACTCTAGAAGAGCTGGACAGGGCTAAAGAAGGTCCTTAACCCATCAGCAGGACCGGTATCTGCTCCTTTGTGCAAGGAGAAACAGGCTGAGCACTGGTAGAGACCTACAAAATGACCTTCAGCAGGCCACTGGTGTGAATGTCCCGGATCAAACAATCAGAAACAGACTTCGTGAGGGTGGCCTGAAAGCTCGATGTCCTCTAGTGGGTCCTGTGCTCACTGCCCGGCACCTTCAAGTTTGATTGGCATTTGGCATTTGCCATTGAACACCAGAATTGCCAGGTCCGCCACTGGCAGCTTGCTCTTTTCACAGAGGAGAGCAGGTTCACCCTGAGCATGTGACAGATGTGAAAGGGTCTGGAGAAGCTGTGGAGAATGTTATGCTGCCGGTAATATTGTTCAGCATGACCATTTTGGTAGTGGGTCAGTGATGGTCTGGGGAGGCATATCCATGGGAGGGACGTGCAGACTTCTACAGGCTAGACAATGGCACCCTGACTGCCATTAGGTAGAGGGATGAAATCCTTGGACCCATTGTCAGACCCTATGCTTGTGCAGTGGGTCATGGGTTCCTCCTGGTGCACAACAATGCCCGGCCTCATGTGGTGATAGTATGCAGGCAGTTCCTGGAAGATGAACGAATTGATACCACGCTCGCCTGACCTAAATCCAATAGAACACCTCTGGGATATCATGTTTTGGTCCATCCGACGCCTCCAGGTTGCACCTCAGACTGTCCAGGAGCTAAAGTGATGCCCTGGTCCAGATCTGGGAGGAAATACCCCAGGACACCATCCGTCGTCTCATTAGGAGCATTAGGAGTACCATTTTGAGTTGCTACAATGAAATTTCAGCAAAATGGACTAGCCTGCTGCATAATTTTTTCCACTTTGATTTTCGGAGTCTTTGAATTCAGTCCTCTGTAGGTTAGTAATTTTCATTTCCATCAAATGATGGGGCAGCCTTATGTTCCTAACACATTACCTAGTCCATATATTAGTATAGATATCCAGCATGATCATTTTTCTCCATTGAAATCTTATGTGTTTTCAAAGTGTTCCTTTAATTTTTTTTGAGCAGTGTATGGTTAAATCCATGGGGAAGAACTACCCCTTGTTGTTTGACGTGTAGCATCTACAAAGCAGCACCAAAAAAAAATAAAATGGAAAAAGAACCCCAAACCTTATCTATAATGTGGCGTGGTTGGGAGGGGGGGGGGTGGCGGGTGGACTAGGACTCATTTTTCTTGTTGTCCGGTTCAGGAGTTCAGCTAATTAGGCAAGAGTGCAATACAACTCATCAAAATAAGTCACAATGCCCTGACTGTAAACCAAGTACAGCGTCACAGTAGATTTGTACGCAAGATAGCTGTGCCAAGTCAGGTGGCGTTCCAAAACAACAGGGAGGCAATGCACTCTGGATCATTTGGCAAGGAGTTAGTAACACAGGAAACAAACTAACTATCTTGAGAACATTTACAATTTTCTAGCTGAAATATACTTAACACAGCTAAACTGCAGTGTAATATTTCAAATGACACACATAGCGCACTTTGATCACTAAAGAGGTTCTCTCAGATCCGGCAGCATTAACTCATGTCATACCAGACAGCCCTGCTGGCAGCAGTGGCGTGATGATCTAATCAACAAGGGTAAATCATTTGAAATGGATAAAAGCAAAGTAAAGTGCAGGAGTGCAGGCAGTTCTGAAACAAGTCCATTTATCTGGCTTGCAGAGCAGCAGGTCTAGCTAATCCCCTCTTAGGCCATGTGGACACAGTTAATCAGGCTTTGCAAGGAGATTGTTTGCATTGTCTCTCAAAAAACAAGTTTAGAATGAGGATTTAAACAATTCTCCTAGGTGTGCAGAAGCAATGTCTCTAGCTTGTTGCAATAAGAAAGACACGAAGGGATGAGGCCTCTGAAATGGTGAACAGGAATACCTGCCTCCGTTTTATCTGCTTAAGAAAAAACACTTACATTTCAGATGCTTCCATTTATGCAGTCATTCCTATCCTTGCTTAATGAGTGTCTGGCATGGCACAAGCACATAAGGTGTATCGTACTTTTTATGCATATGATTGCTCTAGGTCAGTAACTCTTCAGTAGTAAAGAATATGGATCATAAGCCTTGGAGCATGCACTTTAAAGAAAAGAAAAAAAAAATAGGTCAGCAATGGCAGCTTTGAAAGGTTACACTTAATAAGTGATAGCAAAAGGATGCCTCTTTCAGCACAGGAAGAATCCAGAGATATAACAAAGCGTTCACAAAATTTAGTCCACCGTGAGAAAAAAAAAAAAAAAAAACAGCACTATTAAAAATATACATTTATCATACAATTTCTATGCAAGGTATTTTTGCGTAGCATGTGCAGCAACTTATGAATGCCGTATGTCAGAAAAGTGTGCTAATGTAGGTACACCTAAGCCAGGGCTCGCAGTGAATAATGTACCCCAATCCTCAGTGACTGCCTCCTCTGGCATAGTCCTTTGGCAACTCCAGCCACCTATGTTGGTCTCTTCTATACAGCATCTTGATGGAGATAAGGGAACCATGCAGATACATGAAAAGGCTGCTGACAGGTGTGAGGAGCCTGCACAGGATGCAAAAAGCTGCTCGGCCCCCCCGCAAACACCTGTTCATTGACTGTAAAAGTGGGGAGAAGAGAATGAAATCAGGGGAGAACAGGGTGGATTTGATTTAAATCATTACGTGTAAAGGCTCAATATAAATCATAATTGTTTAACCTCCCTGGCGGTATTCCTGAGTGTAGCTCGGGGTAAAGTTTCAGTACCACAAGCGGTAACCCCGACCTACACTCGGGAATACCATGCGGCGCTGCTCCGGGATCCCTCGATCACTAATGTCCCTCCTGCAGTTGTCCCCGGCAATGTAATCCGGCAAATGCCGGCATCTGTCATCTGGGTTCCGTCCCCTGAGAGCGTCGGGACATACGGGGGACGGAACTGGCGGGAAATTTGAAAATGACAAAAAGTGACATTCACTAAAATCGCATCGTAAAACATTACTGTATCAAAGCATTTCACATACATACTAGTGCTTTGTCCTGTGCCCTGCCTGCACTATTACTGTTCTTTCTGCCTGGAAACTGAGAAATGTCCATGGGGTCCAAAAAGTGTCCCTTTAGGTCAAAAGCGGTTTTAGATCAGCTAGAGAACAGCGATAGTAAATCAGAACCACTTGCAGAATTGAGTGATAATGATTCGTGGGGAAATTCATCAGACACTGAAAACGATTTTGCGACTTTGCTCAGTGATGTATGAACTTGGCGCTATATTTCAAATTTCAGTGTTTTTGGTTTGATTATATATTATTGAATTAAATTTAGTATTATATTATTTTTTATGATTATTTATTAAATTATAATTTATGATTTCGTGTTTCAAGTTTTATCCTACCCGGGATGTTTACTAGACTCTTGTTCGGACAGATTTCAGTGAGTTATTCCTAAAAATTACAGGCCTACAATAAAAAAAAATACATATTTCCATGCAAAAAAATTTACGCTTTGAGCACAGAAATATGGACATAACCTCTAGGGAGGTTAAAGAGCAGTGGCCATCTCTGTCGCACAGCGGCTCCTCTGACACGCTGTTGACTCACCGACAGTCCTATTCACTTTAGTGGAACAGCTGTTGATGCGGCAGTGACACAAGGTGAGGGACGTGGCGGCAGCAGGTGAGTGGATGCCCACTAACAGGCGCTGCCATGATGGATCTAGAATGACAGGTGCTTTATAAATGTAAGGAATCCGACTCATTCTTGCTGGTAGTTAGAATCTTTAATATTTGCAAACCAAATGAAGGTTTCCTTTTTAGAATAATAAGCTGTCAGGTTAGTAAAACAGCGATATCAGAACCCATTTTAGGTTAAATAGGTTAAAAACACACATAGCTGGAGAACTACTCAAATTCTTTTATTTCATGTTTTTTTCTCATGGTTACTGTGAAATTGTGTGAATGAATCAATGCAGAGCATGTTCTCTCAGCTTGCAGTTTACCAAAAATGTGAATATTGCAGAAGATACAGCCTCATGCTACATAACTAAGCTCCATTTCATGCTGATTAAACTAAATTATTAATGTAACCTAAATAGAAAACTTTTAGATAGATTTTTACTTCAAAAGCATTTTATTAAATACATTTAATAACAATGATGAAAAAAAAAAAAAAAACTTTTTTTTTTAATAAATCATTGATTTTTATCCACCCTGGGGAGAGTGAAGGATGTGCAATGACTGACCAATGCGCTTTAGGTCACAAGTAAGAGTGCACACAGTGGGACGATGACAGACCAGCATTCCACGAGAACAATTCACAAGTCATTTGCTATAGTCTGAAAAAATCATAACAGTTTTAAACTAAACACTCACTAAACCAAATCTACAGCTTTTTTAAAGATGAACTCCGGGATAAATGATATGTAAATACAAGAGGCATTAGTATTCTTACTTGAACTTTGGTGTGCTTTGTGTATTTCTTTCAGATCTGTGCAGTAATTCAGTGTGAAACTCTGCCTCTGTGCAGGAACTCAAGAGATGTCACTGATACTTAGACAAAGTAATATCTGGTGTTTGCAAAAGTATTTGGGCACCAATACATGCATTTAAATCTATTCCTCCATAGCTACAAAGGATATAAATCCACTTTAGATGCACCAGAGTTCAACTTTAATCTTTTGCAGAATCTTCACAGCACTGGTCTCACCCATTTTCTAATTCAGAATGTACAAAAAGCAACCGATACCCTGGAGGTGATCACAAGTGCCTCTTCAATATACTCAAAAAATGTATATTAAAAGAGACTTTACACCAAAAGGAAAAAGTCCTGCAATATTTACCATACTTGGTTAAATTCTAAGCAGTACAAATAACAACCCGGAGACGAAGACATAAAAAGAAAACTGTCCAGACCAAGGGTCATCATTGAAAGACTGAGTAGTGCATGCTTCTACAGTTTCTGATGTTGTACACATCTAGAAGTCCTCATGCACACACTGGATGTTTTTACAGCTGTTTTTGGCTTTTGGCAGTTTTTTCTACAGCCAGTAAACTCCCCAGCATGTTACTGTATGTGTCCATGCACACACAGGCTTTAATTGGCATTTTTTTTGGTTGGGGGAAATTTAAAAAAAAAAAAAAAAAAAAAAGTGGGTTTCTAGTTTTTTTTAGCTGTAAAAACACAAACACTGGTAAATGCGCAAAACTGGCATTTTTGGGGCTTTTTTCTTGTATTTTTTAGCAGAATTTATTTTTGTATTAAAAAAAAAAAAGGCTAAAAAAAAAAAAAACATGCAGAAAAATGAAACGCTAATGCAAAAATGTGGAAAAACTTGCGTTTTTAACGTGACTTTATACAGCCAACACTACCAGGGTTTTTAAAATGACCAGTGTGCATGAAGACGAAAGGGCCAGCATATGGCACCACATAGAAGATGCCTGGCCATAGTTGGGCGAGAAAGCAAATGGGGACTTAACATGAAGCACAGCATCTTCAATAACAAAAATTCATTGTACGCAAGCTTTTCAAGCTTTGATATTTGTATTATATGACCAGTGTTTTAATAACTGAATAGAAGAATCTGCTACTAGGTTGCTTTAAAAACAAAAAAAAACGAACTTGCCCAAAATAAGTAATCTAAAAAAAAAACAAATTATGTACACACAATATATGTCTTTTTCTATATGATAAAGGACAGCTATACAGCCAGTTTTAAGCTTTATTAACATATGCATAGTTTTATGAAAAGTCGACATTTCACAAATATCCAGTTAATGGGTTACCCTATTCCAAGTGCCCCCCTTGACATGTATACATTTATTACTGCAGATCACTGCAATCCTTTTCTTAAACAAGATACATATACACAGACTAAGGCACCAATAACCCTTGTACTGCAGAATGCACATCATAGCAGGATGAGAACCAGAGACTAAACTATGAAAAGTAAACCACTCTTCATCCAACATTACAAAACAATCAGACTGGCAGATGCTCCCTCCAGCATTGGTACAGGACCAACATGAAGTGCCCAAAAACAAATGTTCATACTGCTGTTAGACCGCATTACTATCAAGCATCACTGGGTGCAAACACTGGGGTCAGAAGATCCTTGAAGATCTTGTTAAGTATACTGCCATTTTAAATGTGAATCGGTTTGTGCAAGAAATATGTTCTAAAGCCAACTAAAGGCAGAATGATTATTTTCCTTTTCAAGATCTTTAAATACATTGCTCAAAAAAATTTAAAGGAACACTGAAAACACATCAGATCTCAATGGGGAAAATTGCATGCTGGATATCTATACGGATATGGGCTGGGTAATGTGTTCGGAACATAAGGATGCCCCATTTTTTGATGGAAATGAAAATAACCTACAGAGGACTAAATTCAAAGACACCCTGCAAATCAAAGTAAAAAAATGATGCAGCAGACTAGTCCATTTTACTGAAATTTCATTGCAGCAACTCAAAACGGTACTCAATTTGTATGGCCCTGCGTGCTTGTCTGCATGCCTGACGTCGTCGGGGCATGCTCCTAATGACAACTGATGGTGTGCTGGGGTATTTGGACCAGGGCATCACTGAGCTCCCGGACAGTCTGAGGAGCAACCTCATCAAATGGACTGAAACATGATATTCCAGAGGTGTTCTATTGGATTTAGGTAAGACGAGACGAGCGTGTGGCCATTCAGTGGTATCAATTCCTTCATCCTCCAGGAACTGCCTGCATACTCTCGCCACATGAGATGGGCACTGTCGTGCACCATGAACACCAGGACCCACTGCACCAGCGTAGGGTCTGACAATGGGTTCAAGGTAGTGGTGCACCAAAATGAAAATTATTGTGCCAAAACTGAAAAATCAAAATGCACTTGGCCAAAAACCGAAATGCGCACTTTAAAAAAAAAAAAAAAAACACACTGATATAAAGACAAAAAAAAAAAAAAAAAAACCACAACAATATGTACCCCAATTTTTTGTCAAATATGAAAGAGGATGATACGGTGAGTAAATAGATACCAAACGTGTCACGCTTTAAAATTGCGCACACTTGTGGAATGGCGTGAAACTGGTGCACTTAAAAATGTCCATGGGTGTTGCTTTAAACATTTCTACAGGTTAGCAGTGTAACATTACAGAGGAGGTCTAGTACGAGAATTATTGCTCTGACGTTTGTGGCGATACATACCTCAAGTGTGTGGTTTGAACACCATTTACATATGTGGGTATGGTCTACGTATGCGGTCACCACTACGTGCAAGCACGAGGGGAAGGGGCACTTTAAACTTTAGTTTAATTTTTTTTTTGCACTGTCCCTTAAAAAAAAAAAAAAAAAAAGTTATCACTTTTATTCTTATCACAAAAAATGCATGCATCCCTTGTGTTATAAATAATTAGTGACAGGTCCTCTTTATGGAAAGATATGGGGTCAATAAGACCTCACATCTCTCCTCTGCAATGTAAAACATTGGATCAAAAAAAAAAAATAATAATAATAATAATAATAATAATAATATTAGGCCAGAACCGGAAGTGACATCGCTCCGGTCCTCCAAGGGCATAGAGATGAGTGGAGGCAACCTTTCCTTCACTCATCTCAATGCCCAGCGCCGGGATTGTTCGATGGTTTCTCAGGTAAGGCTGAGAACTACCGAGCGACGGCCGGTGGTGGCAGCGGCAGGCAGGCGGCAGCGAGGGGTGGGTTTTTTTTCGGCACCTGTACCGGTGCTTTTTATCCCCCATTTCGGCCACCGAAATTTCGGTGCATCCCTAGTCCAAGGATTTCATCCCGATACCGAATGGCAGTCAGGGTGCCATTGTCTAGCCTGTAGAGGTCTGTGCATCCCTCCATGGATATGCTTCCCCAAACCATCACTGACCCATCACCAAAATGGTCTAGCTGAACGATGTTACAGGCAGCATCACATTCTACAGGGCTTCTCCAGACCCTTTCAGGTCTGGCACGTGCTCAGTGTGAACCTGCTCTCAGGCTGGACTTGGACTGTCTGTGCAACCCCCTGTAGGGTCCA